GAGAACCATTATCCTTGACGAGGCTGTTTCTCAAAGAATGAGACTGAGGATATGCACATTTTGCCTGTCTACTATTTAAAAAGGAAGGGGAGAAAAATTGAGTTGCTACTTCAGCCACAATACTACATGTTACACTAATTGTCTTTTGTTTCAGCAAAGAATATGAGCTAATTCCCCCTTTTTTGTTAATTATGATTACAAACTGCTGAGGAACCTCAGACAAGCAAACATTTACATTGCAGTGGGAGGCCTGCGTGAGGAAAGATAGAAATACATTTAATTGCTGCTTGCCATCGTTTTGAGGTCTGAATTGAACTTGCCAGTGATCTCAAGCATTTGGGTTCATGTCAAGTCAGACAAAACATTGTTTAGGAGGTCATCCTGAATGAGAGGAAATTTATAAAGGTGGGGTATGATAACTGAGGAGTTAAGTTTGTTCATATTCGTTTCATTACTATCATCAGACTCTAGAAATATTACTTTGTGTTCTTGGATGTTATCAGGTGAAAACAATGGAAATAAAGCACTCTAAGGTCAAAAGCCTACATAATTAGAGGAAACCAATTAGAAACGTGCTTAAATACTGTCACTGCTGAAGTACTTTCTCTTGGCTAAATTAAAAAAAAAAAAAAGCACATTCCAGCTTTCCAACTTTCATCAATCTTGTTAGAAGCCCAGTCAGCCACGTGATGTTTTATGGGACTTGTATTGACTTTTTCAGGTGTTTTGCACGCAGAAGGGATCAAGTAATTAGGCATCAAAATTTGTTTTGATTACGTCTGAAACACAATAGCAGAGGCTGGGCCTGCCTCCACGTTGTTAGCCTGACACACACAGCCAGGCTGCTGCAGGAACCCAGCTTTGTCAGCAAGGTTCATGCACCTTGCCAGATGCTACCTGGTTGGCTTTTTTGTGACATGGATGCTTTCAACGTGGTGCCTTGACCAACACAACTCACGCAGCACTGCATGGAAGAGAGGCCTGCAGGCATCCAAAACACCAACTGTTCCCTTCCTTTTCCTCACACAGAAGGTCTGTTACAAAGTGTGAGATTGAACATGTGCTTGGCAAGTAAAATTAGCGTTGTGAAATATCATGCCACCATCAGCACACACCGTCAGATTTCCTTCCGTCGTCTTTGGCATTTGGGAGTACAGAAAAGTTGAAGTGATTTCCTGGTTAACCAAAGCATGTCGACTCACTCAAGTCATTGCCTGCTTGGAGATACTTATGGAGCACCTTGCTGCTTTTTTTTTTAATTTCTTCTTCTTAAGAATATCAGAAATATGACCTCAAAAAAGTAGGAAGTTCCTCTTACATGGGAAATTCATTTTTTTGGGCCTTGTTGCTGTAAAGGGTCCAGCACTCCTCTAAGCATCCTGGCCCCAGTCCAGCGAAGCACTTAAGCACGTGCTTTCCTTTGGTTACTCACTCATGTTAATGCCACCCTGTTCCACGGGCACTGAATTGTGATCCTAATATTTATTCATTCTTCAGGGAATATCTTCATTAAACTATTTCCACAAGCATGTTAGCAAATAACCTGTTCATTTTCAAATGTCTTTTGCAAATGGATGAACTTTTCTGGATGGTTACGCTGACCAAGGACAACTCTTCCTGAGCAGAAACACTCACGTAGGCACTGTATTTCATACTACAAAGACTCAAGAGCTCCCTCCCGAATGTCCCAAGCATAACTTCACTTGCATGATTGGTCCAACACATGTTTAAATGTTTACAGAATCAGGCCCTATGCTCTTCCCCGGTTTAACTTTTATAAAGTATTGCCAGATGGAACAGATTTTGCACTCAGGCTACTCCTGGAAAAATATGTTAGCTCTCAAAGGCTTTATTATCAAATCCCAGAGTTTTCAAGGCAAAAAAGAAATGGGGCAGAGGAAGGCGGGGCTGGGGGGAGACAGACAGATGAATGGACAGAGGCATTATTCTATAAATTAAAATTTATGTCCTGAAATCAGAACACTGCTAGCAAAGCCAGCTTCATTTATCCAGTCCCTTTCAAGGAGTTTAAAGTCACTTGAAAGAGCACTTCCCTTGCAGCCGCACTCGACAGATTGCCAATTACAGCCCTGCTGAGAGGTTGGAATTTCTTTGGACTCAGAACAGTACATCTACCCTCACAGCAATGGGTAAGATACGTTGCTTTTGATTTGATTACAAAAAATATCGTTAGACTGGAAAGCTTTGCTTCCACCCATCCAAATTTGCTTGGTATCAAAAAAAAAAAGATAAGCTTGTGTTTACATCAAGTTGACAAATTCAAAGGTTAATTGCTTTTAAGCAGGCAGGTCAAAAGGATACCTAAACAGGGATCCTACTTAAGGAAAACACAGGTTTGCAAATGCAGTACAAGGAGCTTTCAAAGATATTTACAGAGAGAGGCAGCATTGTCCGTACTAGATAGACTCAGTGCCACCTGGCACCTACAGAAAGTGCTATCAGGCACACGGTGGTGGTCTCACTGCCTACAGTAAAAATGAGTGAGAGAGCAGAAAGATACCTGCAGGGTGGCTTCAGACTAAAAGTTAAGCATCTAATTTAAGTTAGTCAGCTGAACCTCATCTGCCACCGAAAGGAACCTCCAGTATGTCATTTATCCCACCTACCGGAAAAAATATCTCCCAGGAGGGAGCAAACCACCTTGTGTAGACACTGATCTCTCTTGACTAGGGAGAAGAAATAGACTTCTAGTGTGCCCCAACTGCCTAAATGTCGAATGGCTTAAATTTGGCGAGATGAAGCCCACCCCTGAGGACAGCGTAACTTCAACATTTCAAGTCAGATGATTGCAATATTATCACTTTTTATTGCCTCACTCAAGAGGAACAGACAATTGTGTTTAAAATCCCACTTTAATAGGATACAAATACTTCAACCCTAGATGTAGTCCCATAACTTTACCACAAATATACTCTCAGGCTTGAAATGAAGCACACACTTGAGAAGCACATGCTTAAGGGTCACTGAACTCACATCCTGATCTCTGGGCAGGACGTAAGTGCTCCTCGGGACTCGGCTGCACATCCCCACATCTTCCCAGTACTACAATAACCAGCGTTACAGCGCTGGCTGCAAGAGGTTGGCTACAAAATCTGACTGCCTGGAAAGGCTGGATGAGTACAGTCTCTATTCCTCTGCTCTGTGGAATACGGTCTTCCAATGGCCAAACCAAGCAGCTGACTTCTACTGCCTACCCCTTCAGGTCATGAGTTAAACACACGAAGCCATGAAAGGCTGCTCTGCTTTCTAGAAAACTAAAAGGAAACAAACCAGCAACAGAATGGAAAACCTTCCAGAAATGAGAGAGAAACCGCTTCCAGGTTTGTCTCTGCAAAGGGCTGCTGCTGGCTGACAGACCACAAGAGCAGAGCAGAAGGAAGCGATGTCACCTGCCATAGACAACTTGCCCTCCTGGAGATGGGATGAAACCTCCACTGCAAAACTGCACCAGTTGTGCTGCAGAAGCGACACTCCTCCCTCTGTGGGGCCGGAGGGGAAAGTTTTGCTCCCAGAGGATTTTACTGTCTGCTTCTTAAAAATGCTGTAATCTTTTTAACTTTTACAAATGTTTTAACTCAGTAAAAGCTATTCAAACTAAGGATGAGAAGGGCAATTGGTCAAAGCACCGCAGCATGCTTAATCTTTTTTCTTTTGGAGTTCCCGTGCACATTTGAAATAACTTTTGTTCCATTTGCAACCCACATGCTGACACAGCATCCCTCCCCTTTTCTGTTCCCAGATCCTGTTATGAGTTTATTCAATAAAAAGACAGATATTCATCTCTTTTCAAGTAAAAGAACATGCTTTTGAATAACTCAATATGTGATACTGTAACAGTACTCCAAGCCAGCCCTTGTTTTAATCAGTTGTATTGACTCTCGGAGTGGAGCTGCCATATACATATCATCACCTTGAGTGTTTACCTCATCGGTATGTAAATACGAAGGGCTAAATTCAGGCTGCCTGTTCTGCACGTGGGGGAAGAGGTGATCCTCTGGGAGGAGGCCACCCAACCTGAGTCCCTCCAGACCTTTGGAGCCCACAGCCCAGGTCCACGGTGCTGCTGCTCTTCTTATGGAGACCCAGCAGTGGACCTCTCAGCCAGTGTCTTTTAGCACGTACCCAGCCCGAGCTATTTAGCTCTGGGATGTTACAGACTTAAGGAAGGAAGGAAGGAGGGGGATATTTTCCTACAGGGTGATACTCTATAAATATATAAACAAACAAACAGGAGAACAACGGAAAAATGCCCCTGGCTTCCTGCTCCTTGCTCTAAACCAAGGAGCAGCAGCTTCCAGAGCCAGGAATTACCAGGCTTCACTGCCATGCCCCAGGAAGAAAGGAGTTATAATGGAAAGAAAGGAATAAGGAATAAGAATGATATGCCAGTGACCAGACTGACAGAAAACCATGCAGGGGTAGATAGGAAGTGGATGCTTGGATTCAGGGGAAAAAAGCAGCAAACAGAACCAGCAAGGCTAATTGGCAGGTAAGGGAGGACCAAACTTAAGAAAAATACATGTTCATAAATAAAATGCAAAGAGCTTTCAGAGACTTTACAGACAGATACAGCATTGCCCATGCTAAGTAGAGCAAACAAGGCTGGTCTTGTGGAGCCCTGTGAAGAAAAGTCCATGAGGACTGGTTGAAGGGCTGGGGACATAAACTGACATGGGGCTAATGTGAGCAAGGGTGAAATTAAACTGAACTTTCAATGGGAGCAAGATGAGATGACAGATGCAATGATTTCCACCTGCCACAGACACAGCAGATAATTCACACATGAAGAAGTTGCTCCAGGCAAAGGGTTATGCATCTGTGAAACACCGATGGTTCAGAGGGAAGGCAGTACTCAAACAGTCCCTTTGGTAAGAGGTTACACTAGGAGTAAGGGTTTGGTGCATGATCTCAAGAAACATGAACATCAGGTCCGGAAGAACATAACCGAGAAGTTGGAGAGGAGTATTGCATTCACTGACCTTCATATATGGTGATGATATGAGGGTGGCTGAGGGATGACATGATCTCAATCTCCCGTCTGATGTGAACCATGTCTTGTTCATCCTTAATTTTGTCCTTACGAATGGATTTTATTGCAACCTATAAATTCAGGAAATCAAGCATTATTCTTGGAACTGAACAGATGCATATAATCCATTAAGGAGAGTTCAAAAAATAAATACAGATGTTAGATGTTGGCAGAACGCGGAATGACCAAAACAAAGTTTTAACATACAAACCTCCACACCCCAGCTCCTTCTTTTTATAGGAATAAATGCACAATCATTACAGTAAAGGATGGCACGAATTTTAAGATCTTCAGGTATTAGGACTTCACCGAGGGGGAGCACAGCACTGTTTGGAAGGACCTCTGTTAGCCTAAGGACGGAGGCAAACAGTAAAACTCCCAACAGCCTTTGATGGGAACAGCATTCAGTTTGACATGACCACATCTGACAATTTCTAACAGAAGCTTTGGAGACAATTTCTCACAAATAAAGTTGAGATCTCTGATGGAAAGGAGGCAGAAGACCCAGACAAAATAGATATTTGTCTATGCTAGTACACCGAGAACCGCATTAACGTGGGTTGCTCCATGGTTCTCTGAAGAAGGCAAACTGCTCGTGAGTTAAGACTTATTTCAAAATCCGAAGAAATAAATCTTAGAAATTCACATCTAATCTCGTCCTCATATAAACCCAAAGCTTCAGGCCCTCCACAGCACTTATGCAATCACTGCAAAACCATATCCTTCCTGCATCCTTCCTCAATCAGCAACCTTTTTACAAGCACATCGTGTGACTGGGTATCTTTCCAAAAGGCAGGGTGGGAACAGAGGAAGTGATAGCTGAACTTGCAATATAAATTCAAATTATAACAGCCCTTGTGAGTGTGTGTAGGTTGCCTGTGAAAAGGGGCTTATCTGAACAACGCCATAAATAATTGCCGAGGTCAGCTCATGCCCTTTGAGAAATGCCCAAGCCAACAATGGAGAGAAGGTGGTGTGAGAGGGAAGGTGAGGGCATTGTGCAGGCTGAATAGCAGCATGGCCTTTATTATACTCAATATTTACCCTGTTTTATTTTTGTAAGGCAGAGTTCAGGGAATAAATTATCAGCTCGTTTAAGATCAACAATGCGTCTTTGAAAAGCATCACTGACCTGCTGAGATGACCACCCCTTTATGGGTAAACAACGCTTTTGTCATTCTCTGCAGCCAACTACTGCGGACCTCTCCTGGGAAAACATTTGCAAATCTGTGATTTATGTGATTTCCCCGGTTCCCTCAAAAAAAAAAGTACTTTCACTGCCTGCTTCAGTAACTGCAAGTGGCATGACCAGTGCTGTTTTCATTAGGCGATGTAGCATCAAGGATATCGAAGAAAGAAGGGGAAAACTTGCAATGTTATGAAATTGAAATGTACATAAACAGGAGCTACTTTAAAGGATTGGGTTTCCTACCAGACCTTCAACTCTGAAAAGCAACATTGTTCAAAAAAGCAGTAAGCATATGCCCCATCCCCTTGAATTGCCAAAGATTTCAGCACGTGCTTAAAATGAAGCACATGCTCAAGTGCTACCCTGCGTTAGGACAGCAGAACAAAAAAGCAGAAATCAAGGGTCAAACTGATTTGCATGCAAAAATCAAAGCACCTCTTTTCTTCCTCTTTACCCCAAAATTTGGTACTGAGATTTTGAAAGTAACAACGTAACTATGGTCTTACCTACACTAGACATATTTCTAGCAAAGGTAATGCAGCAGGTCTTAACTGAATGAGCGATCCAGGCAATCTCCAAGTGCTTATAGAGATGGAGAAGGCAACTAGCAGTAAAGACAAGGTTGGGTTTCCCCCCTCCCTTCCCGTGTTTGCATTGGGACAGGCTGCAAATGCAAATACACCCTGTATACAAGAAGGACGTGGGTGGCTCTTGGAGCAGTATGTGCATTCCTGCGAGAAATAAATATAGACATGGGTAAAAACACATTTTTTATTAAAAGACAGCCTTGTACTTGGCTCCGAGGAAGAATTTAAGAAGGGTTTCATTGTCAAATATACAACGGGGTGCAAATTCTTCATCATTCATGGCTGGTAAAGTAATAACGGCACCCCAGAGGGCATGCCAATCTCCCACCAACTTGACTCTGTGCTTCACAGACGGGACTTTTTTAAGTCTACACATAATTACTGTAAATGGCCTCTCAGGAATAATTGCACATGTGAAAACATATATTTTTAGATACTGCAATGCAAATGTGATTGAAAAGAGCAGCAGCGCTCTGTAAATACATGTTTGGATGAATCTTCAAATGCAAACAGATGTTTTGCCCGGGCAGATATTTTTCTGCAGGACCACAGAGTTTACGGTCTCGCAGCCCACGTAGAAAAGTGGTTAATGCACCTAGGAGCTTTGATTTCTAAAGACTTGGCTTTTAGAGCAGGAGCTCTGCAAAGGAGGCAGTGTCCCTTCACAGAGGGATGGGAAGTTACCAGGAAGAGCGCTCCATTTTGGAGCAAGACTTGAGACACTCACAGCTACTGATGAAGTGCTACCGCTGCGTATTTGCGTAGCACATGAAGATGCTCAAAGCACAGTGCAGCCATTTATTATTTAGGCCTTGGGCAGCAAGTGATGAAATGGTGCTATTCACTTTCTTTGAGGAACAAGATGAGGAAATCGAAAGGGAAAGCTGATGTTACTCCTAAAGGAACGAGGACTGTGGCAGCACAGGAATTGCTGCCTGCTCTCCCAAACCGCAACACATCATAGGAGCATCTCGCCCACCAAGCCACAGCATCATTAGAGGCCAACTCTGATAGCTTTCCCCATGTCCAGTTGCTATTTTCCCCCTCAAAAAGAGTCTTAGGGAAATGAACAGCTCGAACACATCTCAGCAAACACTTTCTACCTCGCACTGTGTGCCTGGTGGCCTGCACAGCTCCCTTCCCAAGGGGATGGGCTCAAGGACTACCAGGAGCACACAGCCCTGAGGGTGACCTGATCCGAAAGGCCAGCGAGCGAGTGATTGCTGTCAGCAGGCTTTCACTGTCAGAGAGGCATCCCGAAAGAGGATTAGCAGCGCAACAGGACGGCGCACAGCGGTGTTCGCGCTGGCTCCTCTGCTCCACACGAGGGATCTCTGCCAGCCAAGTGTCGTTCACCTGTAGCAGGCTGCTCAGGCTGCGTCGGCAAAGGTCTGTGGGCTTAAGTTCACTGATGTGAAGACAGCAGCACAAACAAGAAAGCAGACAAGTGTATTTTTCAGTATTTCACAGAAGCGATGCGAGTCATGATCACGTTCGGGGTATGTCATTGCTTTCATTTCTCTGAGCAAAATAAGATCCCTCTCTGTTTTTTTGTTGTTTGGTTGTAAGACAAATAGCAATAATGGAATTTCTTCTGTGAGTTGTGTTTTACTCAGAATTAAATTCTGGAAAATATAGTGCTTTTACCACCCAACAGAGCTGGCTCCTTTTTTTCAAAAGCTCTCTGGACTGCTGCCAGACACGGTACACGACAACTGAACAACTTCAGCCTAATAAGAAATAATCTCAATTGAGAAATACCTTATGAAAGAACTTGTTTGTCTATTCTTTATGTCCTTTTCTTGCTTGCTTGATTATTCTCCTTGCTTTCTCTGCAACAGCTCCACTGTGTGCACCATCAAAACGTACCAAGGGTCGCCGCATGTGAAACAAGAGTAGGGCAAATGCAATATGCTTTTTTTACATCAGCTACATTAACTACTTAAAATATTCCAGATCTGCAGAGAAAGTGCTATTAGTCCCTTTGGTACTCTCAGAGCACTGTGCTTATGCCTCTACCACACTTCTTCGATGTATTTTACTGGTTTTAGGACTTAGATAATTTAATTAGAGTATTTTTAGTAACTTTACTAGTGAAGGAATTTGTATTTTTCCTAGCTTCTTGTCTTAATGAGAATTTCAGATAACTCCAAGACCTTGCCTTCAGACAGAGTACCATATCAGGTTCTTAATAATGAAATCCAAAGCCTCTTGCCCTAGCAAAATAGGTTCAAGTTCACCCAGAGCCCCTGTAGCCCCGGTACACATTCTGGCAAAACACTTTAGCACATGCCTAACTTCACACGTGAGCAGCCCACTGAATTTCGTGGGACAGCTCACACGTGTAAAGTCAAATATATGCATAAGTAGCAAGGTCACAGCTCAAAACTAGACCATGCAACGGTCCCTGTGGGGACTGAGCCTGAATGACTTGATGGTCTTAATCGAGTTGTAGAGTTTACTGCTTACGTGCATGCATGCAAGTACACGTATACACATTCCCCTTTAGGAGAACCCTTGTGAGATAAATATCCTCAGCCAACAGACCAAAACAATTGTGTCACTGTCCCTTGCCAGCCCCATGCAGCAGGAGCATCCTTGGGATCTGCTCTGCAGCCCCGGTGGCAATGGAGTCCCAAGGCCACAGCGGGTAACAGGGGAGAAAGGAGCACCAGGGATGGTCTGAAACCACCCTCACACATAGGTACCAGCCCCTACATGGTAAGCAAATACAGGGAACACCTTCCCCAAAATGCACGGCATGAGGGAGAGAAAGCAGGGGGCTGTGAACCTCCAGTCGAGCCAGGCACTTCCAAAGGGCTTTGCTTGATCACAGCTGCCGCTCACCCACTGCTCTGCCCTCCAGAAGCAGATAGGAAAGAGGGAGCACAGCTTTTGGCTCCCTACCCCTCCATGAGTCAGCTTGCAAAGCTTGCTGGGCAGGAAGCGTGGAGAAATAAGCTGCTCTCTTCAAGGCTGCAATAAATTACCTGTCTCCATTTGCTGGAAAGAGGATTTATACTCGCTCTCTGAACTGGTGTAGAGAGATTATGAAGTATTTTCCAATACGCTTCATGCTTCTTTGCTTTTGTTTGGTACAAATAACATGAATTGAGCTATAAATACTTCAAAAACACGACGGTTGCAAAGGTTCCTGTACATTCAGTCCTATCTGTAAGAGAAACGTCTCCTCCTCTCTGAGCTTCTTGGCTGCTGGGCAAAGCAGACGCGTGGAATTTTCTTCTACAAAGGCAAATTAAGACCACAGTGAACAGCAAAACATCTCAAAGTCTGA